GTACCTCGCTCCACCTGTGGAAAACCAGGATACATGTACAAGACTACAGTCAGTATAGCTCCCTCGGTTTATGTATCATGTATCCTACCTTGAACAATTACAAGACCCCTCACTAAATCTACAACACTATGTCTACTTCGCTATGTCTGTCTCATTCTGTCTACCTCACTATGTCTACCTCACTCTGTTTACCTCACTCTCTCTACCTCACTATGTCTACCTCACTCTGTTTACCTCATTCTGTCTACCTCACTATGTCTACCTCACTCTGTTTACCTCATTATGTCTACCTCACTATGTCTACCTCACACTGTTTACCTCACTTTGTCTACCTCACTATGCCTACCCCACTCTGTCTACCTCACTGTCTACCTCACTATGTCTACCTTACTCCGTCTACCTCACTATGTCTACCTCACTCTGTCTACTTCACTCTGTCTACCTCACTCTGTCTATTTCACTCCGTCTACCTCACTATGTCTACTTCACTCTGTCTACCTCACTATGTCTACCTCACTCTGACTACCTCACTATGTCTACGTCACTCTGTCTACCTCGCTCTGTCTACCTCACTATATCTACCTCACTATGTCTACCTCACTCTGTCTACCTCACTATGTCTACCTCTGTCTACCTCACTATGTCTACCTCACTCTGTCTACCTCACTATGTCTACCTCTGTCGACCTCACTATGTCTGCCTCACTCTGTCTACCTCACTATGTCTACCTTACTCTGTCTACCTCACTATGTCTACATCACTCTGTCGATCTCACTATGTCTACCTCTCTATGTCTACCTCACTCTGTCTACCTCACTATGTCTACCTCACTCTGTCTACCTCACTATGTCTACCTCACTCTGTCTACCTCACTATGTCTACCTCACTCTGTCTACCTCACTATGTCTACCTCACTCTGTCTACCTCACTATGTCTACCTCACTCTGTCGATCTCAATATGTCTACCTCTCTATGTCTACCTCACTCTGTCTACCTCACTATGTCTACCTCACTCTGTCGATCTCACGATTTCTACCTCACTCTGTCTACCTCACTATGTCTACCTCACTCTGTCGATCTCACTATGTCTACCTCTCTATGTCTACCTCACTCTGTCTACCTCACTATGTCTACCTCACTCTGTCTACCTCACTATATCTAATTCACTATGTCTACTTCACTGTCTACTTCGCTATCGCTACCTCACTATGTCTACCTCACTCTGTCTACCTCACTTTGTCTACCTCACTCTGTCTACCCCACTCTGTCTACTCACTTTGTCTACCTCATTCTGTCTACTTTGCTAAGTAGACTAACAAAGTTTACTAAGATTATATATATTTTATCGTTCACCTTTTTTCTGTTAGTGTTCAATTTCACTGAAACAGGAGACACCGTTGACAACGGCGGTCAATAGAAAACGGTAAACAGACGCTAGCAAATAGTGAAGGTAACAGAAAAAAACAGGAATCAAGGTCTTAATAGATGGCAAGCAGACCATAAACAACAGGAGTCACAACGGTAATGAGTGAAACAGTGATGAATTACAACAGGAGTGAGTTACAACGGCAGTGACAACAGGAATGAGTAACAACGGCAATCAGTGACAACAGGAATGAGTTACAACAGAAAAGAGGTGCAACAGTAACAGGCCACAACAGAAATGGTTTAAAGCGGGAATAAAACCATGACAAGGTAGAAACCCGGGTTTATAAAACAAGACCACAAACCAAGGCATTTGGGTATCTTTACCGAGGTAACGATTCACCAGCCACTGATTTCTTCAGTCCAATACAGAGGAAGATGGAGAGGGCTTTGAGGAATCAGTTAGGTTAGGTTAGGTTAGGTTAGGTTAAGTTAGGTTAGGTTAGGTTAGGTTAAGTTAGGTTAGGTTAGGTTAGGTTAGGTTAGGTTAGGTTAGGTTAGGTTAGGTTAGGTTAGGTTAAGTTAGGTTAAGTTAGGTTAGGTTAGGTTAGGTTAGGTTAGGTTAGGTTAGGTTAGGTTAGGTAAGGTTAGGTTAAGTTAGGTTAGGTTAGGTTAGGTTAGGTTAGGTTAGGTTAGGTTAGGTTAGGTTAAGTTAGGTTAGGTTAGGTTAGGTTAGGTTAAATTAGGTTAGGTTAGGTTAGGTTAGGTTAGGTTAGGTTAGGTTAGGTTAGGTTAGGTTAAGTTAGGTTAGGTTTGGTTAGGTTAGGTTAGGTTAGGTTAGGTTAGGTTAGGTTAAGTTAGGTTAGGTTAGGTTAGGTTAGGTTAGGTTAGGTTAGGTTAGGTTAAGTTAGGTTAGGTTAGGTTAGGTTAGGTTAAATTAGGTTAGGTTAGGTTAGGTTAGGTTAGGTCAGGTTAGGTTAGGTTAGGTTAGGTTAGGTTATGTTAGGTTAGGTAAGGTTTGTCAGGAAACAGGACAAGTGTTTTCTGACGCTGGTTTTAGTCATATGACGACCCACAGCTAGAGATTTTGGTCATCTGACCGAGGCCTTCCACTGGCTTACTGTTACTTGTGTACTGCAGTCACGTGAGTAGCAACAGGAGGAGGCAGAGGCACCACTGGACAAATCCACTGGTGCGTAATCTATAGGCATGACCTACTTACACCAATGGATTTATCCATTGGTGCCTCTGTCTCCTCCTGTTCCTATTCACCTGACTGCAGTACAGAAGCAACGGCAAGCCAGTGGAAGGCGTCGGTCAGATGACCAAACACTCAAGCTATGAGTCATCATATGACTAAAACCAGCGTCAGAAAACACTTGTCCTGTTTCCTGACAAACCTTACCTAACCTAACCTAACCTAACCTAACCTAACCTAACCTAACCTAACCTGACCTAACCTAACCTAACCTGACCTAACCTAACCTGACCTAACCTAACCTAACCTAACCTAACCTAACCTGACCTAACCTAAAACCTAACCTGACCTAACCTAACCTGACCTAACCTGACCTAACCTAACCTAACCTAAACCTAACCTAACCTGACCTAACCTAACCTAACCTGACCTAACCTAACCTAACCTAACCTAACCTAACCTAACCTAACCTAACCTAATCTAACCTAACCTAACCTAACCTAACCTAACCTAACCTAACCTGACCTAACCTAACCTGACCTAACCTAACCTGACCTAACCTAACCTGACCTAACTAACCTAACCTAACCTAACCTAACCTAACCTAACCTAAACCTAACTTAACCTAACCTAACCTAACCTAACCTAACCTAACCTAACCTAACCTAACCTGACCTGACCTAACCTAACCTGACCTAACCTAACCTGACCTAACCTAACCTAACCTAACCTAACCTAACCTAACCTAACCTAACCTAACCTAACCTAACCTAACCTAACCTAACCAACCTGACCTAACCTAACCTAACCTGACCTAACCTGACCTGACCTAACCTGAACCTAACCTAACCTAACCTAACCTAACCTGACCTAACCTAACCTAACCTAACCTAACCTAACCTAACCTAACCTAACCTAATCTAACCTAACCTAACCTAACCTAACCTAACCTGACCTAACCTAAACCCAACCTAACCTAACCTAACCTAACTAACCTAACCTAATCTAACCTAACCTAACCTAACCTAACCTAACCTGACCTAACTTAACCTAACCTAACCTAACCTAACCTAACCTAACCTAACCTAACCTGACCTAACTTAACCTGACCTAACCTAACCTAACCTGACCTAACTTAACCTGACCTAACCTAACCTAATGTTGTACTTTGCTCAAGACTGATGTACTGAACACATCGACTGCAGACTTAGGGACTGATTCCCTCATCTTCCTCTATTATTCTCTGTATAGGACTGACGAAGCCACTGGTTGATGAAACGTTCCTTCAGTAAAAATTCCCAAATATTGGACGTTTCATTCTTCAACTTTTCGGTTTCAAAACCAGTTGCATCACAAAGTTACTTAAGGAAAACGGAAGGATCTGTTTTCGTATAGGAAAAATTATGAAGATGGGTTCCACCACTCAGGAAGGCTCCACCACTCAGGAAGGTTCCACCACTCAGGAAGGTTCCACCACTCAGGAAGGCTCCACCACTCAGGAAGGCTCCACCACTCAGGAAGGTTCCACCACTCAGGAAGGCTCCACCACTCAGGAAGGTTCCACCACTCAGGAAGGCTCCAGAACTCAGGAAGGTTCCACTACTCAGGAAGGTTCCACCACTCAGGAAGGCTCCACCACTCAGGAAGGTTCCACCACTCAGGAAGGTTCCACCACTCAGGAAGGCTCCACCACTCAGGAAGGCTCCACCACTCAGGAAGGCTCCACCACTCAGGAAGGCTCCACCACTCAGGAAGGCTCCACCACTCAGGAAGGCTCCACCACTCAGGAAGGCTCCACCACTCAGGAAGGCTCCACCACTCAGGAAGGTTCCACCACTCAGGAAGGTTCCACCACTCAGGAAGGCTCCACCACTCAGGAAGGTTCCACCACTCAGGAAGGCTCCACCACTCAGGAAGGTTCCACCACTCAGGAAGGTTCCACCACTCAGGAAGGCTCCACCACTCAGGAAGGTTCCACCACTCAGGAAGGCTCCACCACTCAGGAAGGCTCCACCACTCAGGAAGGTTCCACCACTCAGGAAGGCTCCACCACTCAGGAAGGTTCCACCACTCAGGAAGGCTCCACCACTCAGGAAGGCTCCACCACTCAGGAAGGCTCCACCACTCAGGAAGGCTCCAGCACTTAGAAAGGCTCCACCACTCAGGAAGGTTCCACCACTCAGGAAGGTTCCACCACTCAGGAAGGCTCCACCACTCAGGAAGGCTCCACCACTTAGAAAGGCTCCACCACTCAGGAAGGTTCCACCACTCAGGAAGGCTCCACCACTCAGGAAGGTTCCACTACTCAGGAAGGCTCCACCACTCAGGAAGGCTCCACCACTCAGGAAGGTTCCACCACTCAGGAAGGCTCCACCACTCAGGAAGGTTCCACCACTCAGGAAGGCTCCACCACTCAGGAAGGTTCCACCACTCAGGAAGGCTCCACCACTCAGGAAGGTTCCACCACTCAGGAAGGCTCCACCACTCAGGAAGGTTCCACCACTCAGGAAGGCTCCACCACTTAGAAAGGCTCCACCACTCAGGAAGGTTCCACCACTCAGGAAGGTTCCACCACTCAGGAAGGCTCCACCACTCAGGAAGGCTCCACCACTCAGGAAGGTTCCACCACTCAGGAAGGCTCCACCACTCAGGAAGGCTCCACCACTCAGGAAGGTTCCACCACTCAGGAAGGCTCCACCACTCAGGAAGGCTCCACCACTCAGGAAGGTTCCACCACTCAGGAAGGTTCCACCACTCAGGAGTTCCACCACTCAGGAAGGTTCCACCACTCAGGAAGGCTCCACCACTCAGGAAGGCTCCACCACTCAGGAAGGCTCCACCACTCAGGAAGGCTTCACCACTCAGGAAGGCTCCACCACTCAGGAAGGTTCCACCACTCAGGAAGGTTCCACCACTCAGGAAGGCTTCACCACTCAGGAAGGCTCCACCACTCAGGAAGGCTCCACCACTTAGAAAGGTTCCACCACTCAGGAAGGTTCCACCACTCAGGAAGGTTCCACCACTCAGGAAGGTTCCACCACTCAGGAAGGCTCTACCACTCAGGAAGGCTCTACCACTCAGGAAGGTTCCACCACTCAGGAAGGCTCCACCACTCAGGAAGGCTCTACTACTCAGGAAGGTTCCACCATTCAGGAAGGTTCCACCACTCAGGAAGGTTCCACCACTCAGGAAGGTTCCACCACTCAGGAAGGCTCCACCACTCAGAAAGGTTCCACCACTCAGGAAGGTTCCACCACTCAGGAAGGCTTCACCACTCAGGAAGGCTCCACCACTCAGGAAGGTTCCACCACTCAGGAAGGTTCCACCACTCAGGAAGGCTTCACCACTCAGGAAGGCTCCACCACTCAGGGAGGTTCCACCACTCAGGAATTTTCCACCACTCAGGGAGGTTCCACCACTCAGGAAGGTTCCACCACTCAGTGAGGTTCCACCACTCAGAGAGGTTCCACCACTCAGGGAGGTTCCACCACTCAGAAAGCTTCCACCACTCAGGAAGGTTCCATCACTCAGGAAAGAAGGTGGAAGGGAGGCTCCACCACTCAGAAAGCTTCCACCACTCAGGAAGGTTCCATCACTCAGGAAAGAAGGTGGAAGGGAGGTTCCACCACTCAGAAAGCTTCCACCACTCAGGAAGGTTCCATCACTCAGGAAAGAAGGTGGAAGGGAGGCTCCACCACTCAGTAAGGTTCCATTACTTAGTAAGGTTCCACTACTCAGGAAAGTTCCACCATTTAGTAAGGTTCCAACACTCAGGGAAGTTCCAACACAGTAAGGTTCCACCACTCAGGGAGGTTCCAACACAGTAAGGTTCCATCACTCAGGTCAACATTAACGTGGGTTCTAATTTACCAATCTGGACAACACTGCTTGAGATGCTGGTCTTGGTGAAGGAGTCGGTATCTTCCTCCAGGAAGACACACAAGCCAGGGTTATTACTACTGGCTTGTGGCTTGCTCCTATCTCTATCTCTCTCTACCTCTCTTTCTACTCCGTTCTCAGAGCCTTCCCCGTTCTCTGCAAGAAAATCAGGTCATAAGGTCAGGCCTTACATCACCAGGGTCATCTAGTGTCAAGCCGCATCTGCTAGAAAAATGACAGGATGGATAATGAGAACCTTCAAAACTAGGGACGCCACGCCCATGATGATTCTCTTCAAATCACTTGTTCTCTCTAGGCTGGAATACTGCTGCTGTACACTAACTGCCCCTTTCAAGGCAGGCGAAATTGCCGACCTGGAGAGTGTACAAAGAACTTTCACGGTACACATAAGTACAATACAACACCTAAATTACTGGGAACGATTGAAGTCCCCTGATTTGTATTCCCTGGAAAGCAGGCGAGAAAAATACATGATAATATACACTTGGAAAATCCTAGAGGGATTAGTACCAAACTTGCACACGAAAAACCACTCCCTGTGAAAGCAAAAGACTCGGTAGGAGATGCAACATCCCCCCACTGAAAAGCAGGGTGTCACAAGTACACTGAGAGACAACACAGTAAGTGTCAGGGGCCCGAGACTGTTTAACTGTCTCCCAGCATACATAAGGGGGATTACCAATCGACCCCTGGCTGTCTTCAAGAAGGCACTGGACAGGCACCTAAAGTCAGTACCTGACCAGCCGTCAAGCAAAGTTAGAAATGAACATTCAAATATGTAAATAACTCACACGACGTTTCGGTCCGACTTGGACATTTAGGCAAGTCACACGACTAGTTAATGGTCCAAATAACCCGGACATAACTTCCATTCACTTATATCCGGATTATGTGTGTATTGGTCCAGTAATGGTACAGCGCCTTTTTATTTGTCTCCAACATTAAAGCGTAGGATGAGAGGAAGAGGAAATTGTGGAGAAGAAAGGAAGTAGATACAGTCATAAACAGGAAACCAAATGTGAAAGAAAACAGGAAGAGAAGATATGTAACATCAGATATAATTTTGAACGCACAATAAATAAAATAACCAGAAAATAAATAAGGTGCCGAGGAAGCGAGAGATTCCACGAGACATGAGAGTGAAGTGTAAGAGATCCCACGAGACAAGAAAGTCATAAGACTGAGAGACACTAACTTATCCACTTTGGAAAAAGTCTGATATTTCATTGCAGTAAAAAAAAAGGCTAAATTGGTTGAGTCTGACCTAAATAATGTGCAAGAAACTGGTCAAGAACCATCACAACCATCACTGACTCACGCAATTGTAATGACACGATTGTAACCAAACCAAACCTGGTTGATCAGGCTCTGATCCACCAGGAGGCCTGGTCACAGACCAGGCCGCGGGGGCGTTGATCCCCGGAACTCTCTCCAGGTAAACTCCAGGTAAACTCCAGAACCCATGGTAAGTGACTCCAGTGAGTTTTAGGATTCAACTGCCATGGTTTCAACTCCCACCCGCTCCCTGGTGTGTCAGAACACAGTCCTCGGATATAAAGATGATAAATCCCCCACATACGGAGTGAACGTGGTCTTTAATAAATAGAAACGAGTGAGTCAGATCAAACAAATCAAAACAAGACGGGTGAGTGACGCTGCTTGACAGGAGACCAAGACGGGTCAGAGACACTGCTTGACAGGAGACCAAGACGGTGTGACAGTGGAGCGCTGCATTGACACAGGAGACCAAGACGGGTCAGAGACACTGCTTGACAGGAGACCAAGACGGGTGAGTGACACTGCTTGACAGGAGACCAAGACGCGTCAGAGACACTGCTTGACAGGAGACCAAGACGGGTGAGTGACACTGCTTGACAGGAGACCAAGACGCGTCAGAGACACTGCTTGACAGGAGACCAAGACGCGTCAGAGACACTGCTTGACAGGAGACCAAGACGCGTCAGAGACACTGCTTGACAGGAGACCAAGACGGGTCAGAGACACTGCTTGACAGGAGACCAAGACGCGTCAGAGACACTGCATGACAGGAGACCAAGACCCGTCAGAGACACTGCTTGACAGGAGACCAAGACGCGTCAGAGACACTACTTGACAGGAGACCAAGACCGTCAGAGACACTGCTTGACAGGAGACCAAGACGGTCAGAGACCTGCATGACAGGAGACCAAGACCCGTCAGAGACACTGCTTGACAGGAGACCAAGACGCGTCAGAGACACTGCTTGACAGGAGACCAAGACGCGTCAGAGACACTGCTTGACAGGAGACCAAGACCCGTCAGAGACACTGCTTGACAGGAGACCAAGACGCGTCAGAGACATGTATCATCGTAAACAAAGAAGCTTAAACGCAAAAAGGAAATATTCCTTGCATGATGATTGAGGAGAAGAGAGAGAGGAGGCAGCTGCTATCATGACTCTCGTTATTATAGTGGGGGAGCACTAAACCCGTAGGGGGGAAACAGCGCCTTGATAAATGCGAATGCTATCAACCTGGCCGCCCCCTACACCAAAGATAAGAAAGGTTCAATTCAGTGGTTCAAGAACCCTTCGCTGACACCAAGACACATTCCTCGAGGCTCAGTCACCAGTAGATAGCCCCCAGGATAACACAAGTATAAGTCTCTTTCTGTATCCGCGAAGATACAGTTTATAGGTAATTAATTACAGGGAGACAGAAGAAGACAGAGGCTGGTATGTGTAATTAAGAGGTCGCCTGAGTTGCTACAATTACGTTGTTATCAGAGACACTGGAAGATGTTAACTGCCTCGTTAATATCACTAACAAAGTTATTGATGTCTCAACACTGAGATTGATGTATTTTGTTATTGTATTAGTGGTACTGTGATGGTAATGGTGATAGTAATGGTGACAGTAATGGTGATTGTCCTGGTGTAGCTGATGGTACATGTGCAGGTATGGCACAGGTTAAGATTCTGAGACATGTGTAGTACAGGTTTAACTTCATGATTCACGATATCGTAATCAGAAGATTGGAAACTAATCATAGAGTTTTACGACTCTCCGTGAGTTTAAACCTCACCCGTTCCCTGGTTTATTTTATTTTAGTACAGGTTTAAGTCCAGATACGGTAATAGCAGAGCCATAGGCACCTTGATGGTGTAGGTACAGGTATTACTGTATACACACAGGTGTTGACACAGGTGTTAAGGTGCTGATTTTGTTTACCTCGACACACCTGTGACGTCACGCTAACACTGCCATATTCTCACTATCCTCATTTTTAGCTCTGATTTCCGCCCCATTTTTACATATTACTCAGTCACTACAAAATTTGCGAAATTTAATTACCCTCGTAAATGTAAATTTTCGGACTTTCAGAAAATTGTTGATATTTACGGAGAGGATAATTACCTCTGAGTGCCTACGTCCAGTGTTTTATTATCACTAAAATAATTAATTTTCGATTTTATTTTTTCGAATTATTTATCTTTTTAAATAATTATGATTTTCAAAAGCACTTTGGCCGATTTTTTTTTATTTTGAGAAAAGTGGACTAATTTCTTCAGAGGAGTTGTAAACACATGGATAAGATGCAAGGTAACTTTTGTTATAAGCTAGAGTCCTTTAGGATCGATCCTACGTTTGCTAATGATGGCCGCTAGTGTCACCACTCGGCTACAAGAGTTGAAATTCCTCCCAACCTTTACTTTATTAATAAATTCTTGACGAGTCTTCCAGCTCATGTCTAACATTTCTTAAATAAATCTCGTAATTACACTGGTAAATTATATATCTCTCATTACTGTGTGATGGAATGTGATGGAGTGTGATGGAGGTGGGTAGACGGTGGTCACTGGAATGGTAAACACAGGTTAAACTTACTGTAATAAGAGGCAGCAGCAGCAGCAGTTCTTGACCTAGCATCATCACGGAGCGATGTTGAGGTGTGATGACCAGCCATGACTGGAGGTGTAACCGCTGGTGTAAAGGTTGCTGGTGCTCCCACTCCACCCACTTGAGGAGTAGGATGAGGTAGGGGACTCCAGGTTACTGGAGTAGAGTTCCCTGGAGTTCCAACGACGTCCCAGGCTGGGGCTGGGGCTGGAAGGGTAGTAAGATGATCTGGAAATGCTGGAAGCTCGCTCAAGACGTCTGCTGGCACGTAACTTCTCACTGTACGAGACCCGGTCATCTAGCACCGACTGTGATCTGTGTGGTAAATTTTAATTAATACTGCTTGTATTCCGGTAACTGCTAGTTAGTCTTTATTACATCGTGGTAACTGCTAGTTAGTACTGGTTATATCGTGGTAACTGCTAGTTAGTACTTGTTAAATTGTAGTAAGTGATAGTTAGTGCTTGTTGCATTGTAGTAATTGATAGTACTTGCTAATCGTGATAACCACAGCTAGTTGTTAGTGATTGCTGTAGTGTGTGGTAACTTCTAACTAGTGTATTCTTCAGTGTGTGTAGGTAAGTACAGTTAGGTAGTGTTTCAGTCTCGCGTTAAACGAACGAAGGATCGAGCCTCCTTGTGCTAATGACAAATACGGACATAGCGCTTCTTAAAATATTTTAATTATTTTAGCTTTCTTCACCGATTACGACTTTCTCCCTTTTACCCAAAATACGTTTAAAATATTTACCTGGACCGAGAGAATAACACTATGAGTGACGTTAATAAAAAAGAATAACTTGACATATGATCATGGACAACAGGAGCAAGAATGTGAATGTCTGACCTTTCCATTCGGTTTCTAACTCTTGTGGAAGTCGATGAGGTCTTAGTATCAGAAGAGGTAGAGGAGGTCTTCCTGGAATCGGAAGACGTGGAGGAGGAGGAAGTCTTGGCAGAGTCGCTAGAGGAGGAAGATGTGGTGTTTGTGGTTCTCTTTGTGGAAGCATCGGAGGTGCTGTGGGCCTTTGATGTATCAGATACGCTGTTGGAAGTCTTAGAGATGCTGTTGGAGGTCTTGGAGACGTTGTTAGAGGTCTTTGAGACGCTGCTGGAGGTTTTACAAGCACTAATAAGAATTCTTGCATCAGAGGCGCTGCAAGAGGTCTTGCAGGCGTTGATGACCGTTTTTGCATCAGGGGCGCTGCTGGAGGAGGTGGTCTTGGAGACACTGCTCGAAGTGGTCTTGGAGACACTGCTCGAAGTGGTCTTGGAGACACTGCTCGAAGTGGTCTTGGAGAGGTTGCTGGCTGGTCTTGGTGGCGACGTCAGCAGCTGTAGTGTCTTCTGGGGGCGGGGGCGCTGGCCCCTTGTTGTGCCTGATGGGAATGGGGCTCCTGTTCTTGGTCGGAGCAGTGTGCAGGGGCGAGGTGGGCCGGAGGGCTGGAGGCCACCTCGCCGCCTCACACATGGTCTGTAATGTGCATCACACCATTAATGTGTCTGTCTTTTACAAACTTTCTAGAAGTATAGACTTATATGTTGAGATGACACATTAGCCTAGGAATGAGAGAAGCAGCTGTTATAACAGGTCCAGAGACCAAATTTCCGGCCGGAAAAGAAAAAGAAGAACCCGGAAATGTCGATTTTTCTTTGATATCTTGTCCAGTCAAGCCGTCAAATTATAAATAAATGTATTTGCAAGTTTCGTCAAGCGTTACAACCTGAGAACATCAACACTTATGTTCATGTCCTTAAGTTGCTATTATACTTTTTTATTTGTATGCACTAAAATAAAAGGACAATTGGAATCAGAATAATAATGCTTATACACGAGTCTAAGAAGAACAAGGAGCCAGTATTGCCAATAGAACTTACCTGATGGCTTTGAAATTTCTCCGGAGAAAACACCTGCTTGCAGAACTCACACGGGATCAGTTCCTCCACCTCCTTGGAGATGTAGCCGTTCATCATGGGTTTACTGTCAAACTTGATGAAGCCGTTGACTTGAGTTTTCTCCTGGGAAGCTGTGGTCTTGGAGGCAGGTTTATCTTGTGGTGTTGGGTTCATAGTGTGTCCCTTGACCGTAGACGGTTTGTTCTGAGGCGGTGACGAGGTGGTACTTGGCGGGGGAGGAGCTCTGTACTTGTTGGGGTTCTTGATGAAGATAGTTTCAGCATGGTCCTCGACAGGTGCTGGTTGTGGCGTCGGAGAAATTTGCTTGACCTGTGTTGTTTTTGTTGGCTGAGGCGAGGGTGTGTCAGTGCCTGAGCAGTGAGATGCTGGCAGTTGTGTGGCAGAGCGGCTGGTGGTGACCGGCTGCACCTGCTGTGTGTCGTCGTCAACGCCTGTGTCTTCCAGCGGCGCTGTGTTGGACCGCACGTAGCCCCTCCTGCTGGCGGCGCCGCTAGCGGAAATGCTGCGCCAAGAGAAAATGGCGGAAGAGAGAAGCCGACCTCGGCGAGGACGCATGTAAGGTCCATCCTCGTCATCATAGTCTAACTCCACGTCAGTGGTAGGAGTATCGGGAGGGACGTGCTCTCTGCTGTGTGTTGCTGTGGGCACCGGCGAGGCAGAGCTGCTTGTAGATGGTGTCGTGGACACGGATCTGCTGCTGACGGAGCCGCTGCTGGTGGAGCCGCTTGGCGCAGGACTGACACTGAAGGGCCTGCTGCTACTGCTGGAGCACAAGCTGGGGGACACCACCACAGACGGCGGCTGGTCCACGATAGTTATTGTAGTAGTTGCCGGGGGACAGATCGGCGGGGGACTCACAGATGGAGGGCACCTCGGTGGGGGACTGAACGCAGGACTCCGAACTCTTGCAGAAGTAGGTGTTGGACTTCTTCTAGTTGGTGACACTTGAGTTCTTGGAGGAATAGGAGCTGGACTCTTCCTGTTGTTGGATGTACCTGACTCTGAGGGTTTGGGCGGGATTGAAGCTGGGTTGGGCGCTGTGCTCTTCCTTGGGGGAGTACACACTGGTGTTGGAGTCCGTCCAGGAGCTTTCCTTGGTGCAGGAGACGCGGGTCCAGGACTTCTAGGAGGACCCGAAGTGGACTGTATCGTCGAACTAGAAGACAACGAAGTGACTGATGTGACTCTGGTGGAGATGGAGGCAGTGGTGGTGGTGGAGATGGAGGAGAGGAGGAGGAAGAGGAGGTGGAGATGGAGGGAGTTACAGTGGGGCTAGTGACAGCTGTGGTCCGCTGGATGAGACGGGATGTCCTGGGCAGCTGCGTCTCGTTCTGCTCACAGCTGGTCTGGTGTCTCATCAAGTCTCTCTCAGGAAACATCTCATCACAGAACTCACAGGGAAGCATCACCGGAGCCTCGCGACGCACCGGAGGCTGAGGGCGGGAACAAACCAACGATGAAGATAGGAAAAAGAGACAGAGAATCTCCTATGGAGTCAGGGAATCCAAGTATCTCCAGAAATTTGGAAGTACAGACGAGCATGTGACAGCTACAACTCAAGAAAACCTCACTGTCTTCACTGTGACTTAAAATATATTTTAAGGAAGTTAAATAAAACTGGATGAGCTATCGTGAGGGTAAAGTGGCACTGGCTTTATAACATTTGTAATGTAAAAGTTAAGAGACACGTAACTTTCCCCCATCTTCTAATAACATGCTCATTTTTCCACTATAATCTACCTTGTCCATAATTACTATCTTATCCATAATTACTATCACATTTTCTTTGTCTGTTTCGTAAGGTGAAGTCCAGGATCTTTATTTAATTCATGGTATAACTTAACAAACATTTGAGGACAATTGTTGTTGTAGAGGTGTGAGCGAAGCTCCTGAGATAGTAATTATGGACAAGGTAGATTATAGGTGGGAAAATAAACATGTTATTAGATGACGGTGAACTTACGTGCCTCTTAATGTACTTACATTAATACCTGTACGTATACTCATGCCTCGTCTGAAGTGATGTTTCACAGTATTTTTATCTTCACGGAGAAGTTCTAAACCCATGGTGGCCATACAACGTATGGAGGTAATCAGCTCTGATCCGAGGAAGGGGAGGGCAGCTCCATTTCCTCGCATCAAAACCCTTTTTTTTTTGCTGGTATCAAAGTTCCCCTCTTACCGCGTCTTCCTTGAAGGACACTCTCTTCTTGAGGCCAGTGCTCTTGGGTCTAGCTCCTGTGCTGAGGACGCTGCTGCTGCTGCTGCTGCTGCTGGTGGCAGCGTTCGAGTCACTCGAAGACTTGCTGATTGGGGTACTCCTGCTGGAGGACGAGGCCGAGGACGAGGAGGAGGATGCGGAGGCTGCGGCGCTCCTTGGGGAAGCTGGAGGCCGACGTGAGCTGCCTCTGGAGGACGGTGAGTCAGAGTCCTCTGTGTCACTGCTGCTGCTGCTGCTATCTGACGAACTCCCCTGCAGGAGACAACACCAGACACTCAGGTGGGTAGGTGCGAGGCGAGAACGATACCTACTACTGCGTCAGGCATGGAAACGAACACCTACCACTCGCTTAGTCGTAGAGAGGGACGCCTATCACTCATTCAGACATTAGCGAGGGACACCTACTGCTCGTTAAGGAGTGAGATATAGGACACCTACCACTCACTGAGACAGAGAGGTATACCTACCGCTCGTTCAGGCATGGAGAGGGATCGTCTGAAGGTTGGGCGGTGTTTACGGTTGAACTCAGAAGCCGGGAGATCATCCTCAGCCTTGGCCAGCTGGAAGGCCAGCCACCTGTCATACTGCTCCTGAGTCGCATTCTTGGGAGGTTCCACAGTGCTGGAAGCTAAAACAAAGCATTCCTGTCACTACGATGTTAAGTACCTACTTACCTGCCTGCCTGTCTGCTTACCTGCCTGCCTGCCTGCCTACCTGTCTGCTTACCTACCTGGCTGCCTACCTACCTGGCTGCCTACCTGCCTGCTCGGTAATTTTTTTCTCCTATTTCTAGTGATAGATGAAGTACCTTCCCACACCCAGTCTTCCACAATCTTCCCGTATACTCTGAGCCTCTAATGTAATACCTGACCACATCCTCATTGTTCTAACGAAGTCTCCCAGCTCAGATTGATGCTACTGAAGTCTCCCAGCCCAGACTGACACTACTGAAGTCTCCCAGCTCAGATTGATACTACTGAAGTCTCCCAGCTCAGACTGACACTACTGAAGTCTCCCAGCTCAGACTAACACTACTGAAGTCTCCCAGCTCAGACTGACACTACTGAAGTCTGCCAGCTCAGACTGACACTACTGAAGTCTCCCAGCTCAGACTGACACTACTGAAGTCTCCCAGCTCAGACTGACACTACTGAAGTCTCCCAGCTCAGACTAACACTACTGAAGTCTCCCAGCTCAGACTGACACTACTGAAGTCTCCCAGCTCAGGCTGACACTACTGAAGTCTCCCAGCTCAGACTGACACTACTGAAGTCTCCCAGCTCAGACTGACACTACTGAAGTCTCCCAGCTCAGACTGACACTACTGAAGTCTCCCAGCTCAGACTGACACTACTGAAGTCTCCCAGCCAGACTGACACTACTGAAGTCTCCCAGCTCAGACTGACACTACTGAAGTCTCCCAGCTCAGACTGACACTACTGAAGTCTCCCAGCTCAGACTGACACTACTGAAGTCTGCCAGCTCAGACTGACACTACTGAAGTCTCCCAGCTCAGACTGACACTACTGAAGTCTCCCAGCTCAGACTGACACTACTGAAGTCTCCCAGCTCAGACTGACACTACTGAAGTCTCCCAGCTCAGACTGACTGACACTACTGAAGTCTCCCAGCTCAGACTGACACTACTGAAGTCTCCCAGCTCAGACTGACACTACTGAAGTCTGCCAGCTCAGACTGACACTACTGAAGTCCTCCAGCTCAGACTGACACTACTGAAGTCTCCCAGCTCAGACTGACACTACTGAAGTCTCCCAGCTCAGACTGACACTACTGAAGTCTCCCAGCTCAGACTGACACTACTGAAGTCTCCCAGCTCAGACTGACACTACTGAAGTCTCCCAGCTCAGACTGACACTACTGAAGTCTCCCAGCTCAGACTGACACTACTGAAGTCTCCCAGCTCAGACTGACACTACTGAAGTCTCCCAGCTCAGACTGACACTACTGAAGTCTGCCAGCTCAGACTGACACTACTGAAGTCTCCCAGCTCAGACTGACACTACTGAAGTCTCCCAGCTCAGACTGACACTACTGAAGTCTCCCAGCTCAGACTGACACTACTGAAGTTCTCCAGCCAGACTGACACTACTGAAGTCTCCCAGCTCAGACTGACACTACTGAAGTCTCCAGCACAGACTGACACTACTGAAGTTCCAGTCAGGCTGACACTACTGAAGTCTCCAGCTCAGACTGACACTACTGAAGTCTCCCAGCTAGGACTGACACTTATGAAGTCTCCCAATCAGGGCTGACATACTGAAGTCTCCCAGCTCAGACTGACACTACTGAAGTTCCAGCCATACTGACATACTGAAGTCTCCAGCTCAGACTGACCTACTGAAGTCTCCCAGCTCAGGCTGACACTATGAAGTCTCCCAGCTCAGACTGAACAATACTGAATCTCCCAGCTCACGATGACACTATGAAGTCTGCCAGCTCAGACTGACAATGAAGTCTCCACAGCTCAGATGACACTACTGAAGTCTCCCAGCTCAGACTGACACTACTGAAGTCTCCCAGCTCAGACTGACACTACTGAAGTCTCCCAGCCCAGACTGACACTACTGAAGTCTCCCAGCTCAGACTGACACTACTGAAGTCTCCCAGCTCAGATGACACTACGGAAGTCTCCAGCCCAGACTGACACTACTGAAGTCTCCAGCTCAGACTGACACTACTGAAGTCCCCAGCTCAGACTGACACTACTGAAGTCTACCAGCTCAGACTGACACACTGAAGTCTCCAGCCAGACTGACATACTGAAGTCTCCCAGCTCAGACTGACACTACTATGTCTCCAGCTCAGACTGACACTACTGAAGTCTGCCAGTCAGACTGACACTACTGAAGTCTCCCAGCTCAGACTGACACTACTGAAGTCTCCAGCTCAGACTGACATACTGAAGTCTCCCACTCAGACTGACACTACTGAAGTCTCCCAGCTCAGACTGACACTACTGAAGTCTCCCAGCTCAGACTGACACTACTGAAGTCTCCCAGCTCAGACTGACACTACTGAAGTCTCCCAGCTCAGGCTGACACTACTGAAGTCTCCCAGCTCAGACTGACACTACTGAAGTCTCCCAGCTCAGACTGACACTACTGAAGTCTCCCAGCCCAGACTGACACTACTGAAGTCTCCCAGCTAATGATCCTGCTACCCAACTATCATACAGAACATGGTTGCACGACACTGCTGATTAATTCACTCGACCTTAATATAACAATATAGTAAAGATTACAGTAATTCAACAGGGAATTATATATAGTAATTCAAAAGGGAATTATATATAGTAATTCAAAAGGGAATTATATATAGAAATTTAGTGGTCTGGGCAGTGTCAGAATTACCATTTAATTTTATAGTGTAGAGAGACTGGTAACAGATTAAGAGGTAAAATAGGGAATTACTACGATTTATATTGAATTCTGATGCAGTAAGGTGCTAAACACATCTGGGTAATATATCGTAATTACTGATTTGGGCTCGATCCTCTGTGAGTGCGAGTGTTGACAAAACTGGCACTCTGAAACACACTAGTACTCTGAGATATACTGGTACTTTGAGATACACTGGTACTCTAAGATATACTGGTACTCTGAGATACACTGGTACTCTGAGATATACTGGTACTTTGAGATACACTGGTACTCTGAGATATACTGGTACACTGAGTTACACTGGTACTCTGAGTTACACTGGTACTCTGAAATACACTGGTATTCTGAGTTACACTGGTACTCTGAGATACACAGGTACTCTGAGATATACTTGTACTCTGAGATACACTGGTACACTGAGTTACACTGGTACTCTGAGTTACACTGGTACTCTGAGATACACTGGTACACTGAGTTACACTGGTACTCTGAGATACACTGGTACACTGAGTTACACTGGTACTCTGAGTTACACTGGTACTCTGAAATACACTGGTATTCTGAGTTACACTGGTACTCTGAGATACACAGGTACTCTGAGATATACTTGTACTCTGAGATACACTGGTACACTGAGTTACACTGGTACTCTGATTTACACTGGTACTCTGAGATACACTGGTACACTGAATTACACTGGTACTCTGAGATACACTGGTACTCTGAGATACACTGGTACTCTGAGATACACTGGTACTCTGAGTTACACTGGTACTCTGAGATACACTGGTACTCTGAGTTACACTGGTACTCTGAGATACACTGGTACTCTGAGATACACTGGTACTCTGAGATACACTGGTACTCTGAGATACAATGGTACTCTGAGATACACTGGTACTCTGAGTTACACTGGTATTCTGAGATACACTGGTACTCTGAGTTACACTGGTACTCTGAGATACTCTACTCTGAGATACACTAGTTTTCTGAAATTCACTGGTACTCTGAGATATACGCTGGCACCCTGGGCTACGCTGGCACCCTGGGCTACGCTGGCACTCTGGGATACGCTGGCACTATGGGATACGCTTTTACTCTGGGATACGCTGGCACTCTGGGATACGCTGGTACTCTGGGCTACGCTGGCACTCTGGGATACGCTTGCACACTGGGATACACTGGCACTCTGGGATACGCTGGTACTCTGAGATACACTAGTATTCTGAAATTCACTGGTACTCTGAGATACGCTGGCACCCTGGGCTACGCTGGCACTTTGGGATACGCTGGTACTCTGGGATACGCTGGCACTCTGAGAAACACGGTGGCACTCTCACCTGAGGAACGTGATGAGGTTTTGCTAGTGGAAGACCCCGAACTGACGGAGTTGCTCAGTTCAGAGAGAATAGAGAAGGTTTCCACCGCCAAGGATGTGGGTCGTCTTGGGCGAGCACCGTGAGTGAAGCCTGTGGAAGATGACACCGAGGAGGAGGAGGAGGTGGAGGTGGAGGTGGAAGATGTTGTGGAAGATTTTGTCTCTGATTGGGTGGCAGTGGCCCTGGTACCTGTGGAGGTGGTGGACTTGGTACCCGTGGAGGTAGTGGACCTGGTACCTGTAGAGGTGGTGGACCTGGTACCTGACGAAGTGTTGGTTCTGGTGATGGAAGATGTGTTTCTTGTACTGGAAGTTGAGACGACTGAGGACCTCACAGATGTGTCCGAACTGCTGGTGGTCCTTGTGGACGAGACTGTTGGAGGCTTGTAGGAGGAGGAGGAGGAGGAGGTGGTAGTGGTGGTTGCTCTGGGAGGGGAGGGGGTGGTAGTTGTGGTAGCGGTGGTTGTGGTGGAAGAAACAAGGGAAGTAGTCGTGGTAGCAGAGGTCGAACAACAACAGTCATCATCCTTCGACTCTTTATCCGAGTCCTTGCAGGAGTCCTGGCAGGAATCCTGGCAGGAGGTGGTGGTGGTTGTGGTGGAGGAGGAGGAGTATGGAGTGTAGGATGGAGGTGTGTGGGTGTTGGAGGGTCGCTCATACCGATACAGCGCTGATGAAGTTCGGGTAGACAACAGGGCTGATACCATATCTGAAAAATACCAGTAGTAATTATAATGTGGAATGATCAGGTCTGTCTCTGGAATGAGCAGGTCTTATGTGTGGCATGACCAGGTCTTTATGTGGAATGACCAGGTCTTATGTGTGGCATGACAGGTCTTGTGTGTGGAATGATCAGGTCTTGTGTGTGGAATGACCAGGTCTTGTGTGTGGAATGACCAGGTCTTGTGTGTGGAATGATCAGGTCTTGTGCGTGGAATGATCAGATCTTTATGTGGAATGACCAGGTCTTGTGTGTAGAATGACCAGGTCTTTATGTGGAATGACCAGGTCTTATGTGTGGCATGACCAGGTCTTGTGTGTGGAAATGACCAGGTCTTGTGCGTGGAATGTTCAGATCTTTATGTGGAATGACCAGGTCTTGTGTGTGGAATGACCAGGCCTTGTGTGTGGAATGACCAGGTCTTGTGTGTGGAATGACCAGGTCTTGTGTGTGGAATGACCAGGTCTTGTGTGTGGAATGATCAGATCTTTATGTGGAATGACCAGGTCTTGTGTGTGGAATGACCAGGTCTTTATGTGGAATGACCAGGTCTTTATGTGGAATGACCAGGTCTTATGTGTGGCATGACCAGGTCTTGTGTGTGAATGATCAGGTCTTGTGTGTGGAATGACCAGGTCTTGTGTGTGGAATGATCAGATCTTTATGTGGAATGACCAGGTCTTGTGTGTGGAATGATCAGATCTTTATGTGGAATGACCAGGCCTTGTGTGTGGAATGACCAGGTCTTGTGTGTGGAATGACCAGGTCTTGTGTGTGGAATGACCAGGCCTTGTGTGTGGAATGACCAGGTCTTGTGTGTGGAATGACCAGGTCTTGTGTGTGGAATGACCAGGCCTTGTGTGTGGAATGACCAGGCCTTGTGTGTGGAATGACCAGGCCTTGTGTGTGGAATGACCAGGTCTTGTGTGTGGAATGACCAGGTCTTGTGTGTGGAATGACCAGGTCTTGTGTGTGGAATGACCAGGTCTTGTGTGTGGAATGACCAGGTCTTGTGTGTGGAATGACCAGGTCTTGTGTGTGGAATGACCAGGTCTTGTGTGTGGAATGACCAGGTCTTGTGTGTGGAATGACCAGGTCTTGTGTGTGGAATGACCAGGTGGTTGGTAAAACGTCTTGAGACTGGAGTACAGGACACAGATGCTGTGGATAATCTTACTGAGACAACATCTCGTCCCAAGACAAACTTCAAGAAGTCAGTCAGAGGAACTAACATCTGACGATCAGGGACCAAGTTGAAAACAATCAGAACTAACATATGACTATCAGAATTAACATTAAAAGAATCAGATAATTGGAAATAACATCTGACGATAAGAACTAACCTCTGAGATTCAGAATACAACTTCACACAATCAAACTCCAAAATCTAACAATCAGTAACTAACATCTAATAACCAAAACATACATCATATCAGTCAGAACTAAAATCTGACAACCAGAGCTAATAATTAACAATCAGAACCAGCATCTAACAATCACAAAATAACAAAATGATCGTAGCGTCATCTCTGACAAAGGGTAACTAAGAGCTAACAGCAGACAGAGAGAACTTCTGAGCCTGGCTTGATATAGCTGTTATAGACAGCAATATCCAGGGTTGAGGAACGCCGTCAATACGATGCAAGGAGGGCAGGGGGTAAGGTGGGAAGGGGAGCAACGCCCCCTACCCACCTTACCAAGTTATCATCAAAGTTCCTCTCTGGTGGGAGGATATTAGAGGACTTTCCTGGGCGACTTTCTTTGTGGCTTAGACACTTTATGAGTCATGTCTCACTGCTGCTTCTCACTGCTGTTGCTGCTTCACTGGCTAGGTGAGCTGCATTCTTATATAACTCGCTGGGATGGAGAGTTCTTGGAAAGGTTGGCATTCACTCGCATATTTTTCACCCTGATGTGCGATGCAATGAGTGAGTATCGTCACGGGATCCTTCTGTAAGATCCTGCTTCATCGTCCACCGTAGTCTGCTGTTGTAATAGTGTTCACTGATGGAATTGGTTGTGATTGTGTATGTTATTATTATCAGGAGGTGGGAAGTAGAGTGCCTACACTCTGAAGGATAGGTGGGGATGTTATAGTTCTGGAGGTGGAAAGTACAGTGCCTACACTCTGAAGGATAGGTGGGGATGTTATAGTCCTGGAGGTGGAAAGTACATCTTCCTACATTATGCTGGTCATGTTGTTCACTCTCAACATCTCCCTACATTATGCTGGTCATGTTGTTCACTCTCAACATCTTCCTACATTATGCTGGTCATGTTGTTCACTCTCAACATCTCCTACATTATGCTGGTCATGTTGTTCACTCTCAACATCTCCCTACATTATGCTGGTCATGTTGTTCACTCTCAACATCTCCCTACATTATGCTGGTCATGTTGTTCACTCTCAACATCTTCCCTACATTATGTGGTCATGTTGTTCACTCTCAACATCTTCCTACATTATGCTGGTCATGCTGTTCACTCTCAACATCTCCTACATTATGCTGGTCATGTTGTTCATCTCAACATCTCCTACATTATGGTGGTCATGTTGTTCACTCTCAACATCTTCCTACATTATGCTGGTCATGTTGTTCACTCTCAACATCTTCCTACATTATGCTGGTCATGTGTTCACTCTCAACATCTTCCTACATTATGCTGGTCATGTTGTTCACTCTCAACATCTTCCTACATTATGCTGGTCATTGTTCACTCTCAACATCTCCTACATTATGCTGGTCATGTTGTTCACTCTCAACATCTTCCTACATTATGCTGGTCATGTTGTTCACTCTCAACATCTCCCTACATTATGTGGTCATGTTGTTCACTCTCAACATCTTCCTACATTATGCTGGTCATGTTGTTTACTCTCAACATCTTCCTACATTATGCTGGTCATGTTGTTCAATCTCAACATCTCCCTACATTATGCTGGTCATGTTGTTCACTCTCAACATCTCCCTACATTATGCTGGTCATGTTGTTCACTCTCAACATCTTCCTACATTATGCTGGTCATGTTGTTCACTCTCAACATCTCCCTACATTATGCTGGTCATGTTGTTCACTCTCAACATCTTCCTACATTATGCTGGTCATGTCGTTCACTCTCAACATCTTCCTACATTATGCTGGTCATGTTGTTCACTCTCAACATCTTCCTACATTATGCTGGTCATGTTGTTCACTCTCAACATACCCCTACATTATGCTGGTCATGTTGTTCACTCTCAACATCTCCCAACATTATGCTGGTCATGTTGTTCACTCTCAACATCTTCCTACATTATGCTGGTCATGTTGTTCACTCTCAACATCTCCCTACATTATGCTGGTCATGTTGTTCACTCTCAACATCTCCCAACATTATGCTGGTCATGTTGTTCACTCTCAGCATCTCCCTACATTATGCTGGTCATGTTGTTCACTCTCAACATCTTCCTACATTATGCTGGTCATGTTGTTCACTCTCAACATCTCCCTACATTATGCTGGTCATGTTGTTCACTCTCAACATCTTCCTACATTATGCTGGTCATGTTGTTCACTCTCAACATCTCCCTACATTATGCTGGTCATGTTGTTCTCTCTCAACATCTCCCTACATTATGCTGGTCATGTTGTTCACTCTCAACATCTTCCTACATTATGCTGGTCATGTTGTTCACTCTCAACATCTTCCCTACATTATGCTGGTCATGTTGTTCACTCTCAACATCTTCCTACATTATGCTGGTCATGTTGTTCACTCTCAACATCTTCCTACATTATGCTGGTCATGTTGTTCACTCTCAACATCTCCCTACATTATGCTGGTCATGTTGTTCACTCTCAACATCTTCCTACATTATGCTGGTCATGTTGTTCACTCTCAACATCTCCCTACATTATGCTGGTCATGTTGTTCACTCTCAACATCTTCCTACATTATGCTGGTCATGTTGTTCACTCTCAACATCTCCTACATTATGCTGGTCATGTTGTTCACTCTCAACATCTCCTACATTATGCTGGTCATGTTGTTCACTCTCAACATCTTCCTACATTATGCTGGTCATGTTGTTCACTCTCAACATTTCCTACATTATGCTGGTCATGTTGTTCACTCTCAACATCTCCTACATTATGCTGGTCATGTTGTTCACTCTCAACATCTTCCTACATTATGCTGGTCATGTTGTTCACTCTCAACATCTTCCTACATTATGCTGGTCATGTTGTTCACTCTCAACATCTCCTACATTATGCTGGTCATGTTGTTCACTCTCAACATCTTCCTACATTATGCTGGTCATGTTGTTCACTCTCAACATCTTCCTACATTATGCTGGTCATGTTGTTCACTCTCAACATCTTCCTACATTATGCTGGTCATGTTGTTCACTCTCAACATCTTCCTACATTATTGCTGGTCATGTTGTTCACTCTCAACATCTTCCTACATTATGCTGGCATGTTGTTCACTCTCAACATCTTCCTACATTATGCTGGTCATGTTGTTCACTCTCAACATCTTCCTACATTATGCTGGTCATGTTGTTCACTCTCAACATCTTCCTACATTATGCTGGTCATGTTGTTCACTCTCAACATCTTCCTACATTATGCTGGTCATGTTGTTCACTCTCAACATCTTCCTACATTATGCTGGTCATGTTGTTCACTCTCAACATCTTCCTACATTATGCTGGTCATGTTGTTCACTCTCAACATCTCCTACATTATGCTGGTATGTTGTTCACTCTCAACATCTTCCTACATTATGCTGGTCATGTTGTTCACTCTCAACATTTTCCTACATTATGCTGGTCATGTTGTTCACTCTCAACATCTTCCTACATTTGCTGGTCATGTTGTTCACTCTCAACATCTTCCTACATTATGCTGGTCATGTTGTTCACTCTCAACATCTTCCTACATTATGCTGGTCATGTTGTTCACTCTCAACATCTCCCTACATTATGCTGGTCATGTTGTTCACTCTCAACATCTTCCTACATTATGCTGGTCATGTTGTTCACTCTCAACATTTTCCTACATTATGCTGGTCATGTTGTTCACTCTCAACATCTTCCTACATTATGCTGGTCATGTTGTTCACTCTCAACATCTTCCTACATTATTCTGGTTATGTTGTTCACTCTCAACATCTTCCTACATTGTGCTGGCCATGTTGTTCACTCTCAACATCTTCCTACATTATGCTGGTCATGTTGTTCACTCTCAACATCTTCCTACATTATGCTGGTCATGTTGTTCACTCTCAACATCTTCCTACATTATGCTGGTCATGTTGTTCACTCTCAACATCTTCCTACATTATGCTGGTCATGTTGTTCACTCTCAACATCTTCCTACATTATGCTGGTCATGTTGTTCACTCTCAACATCTTCCTACATTATGCTGGTCATGTTGTTCACTCTCAACATCTTCCTACATTATGCTGGTCATGTTGTTCACTCTCAACATCTTCCTACATTATGCTGGTCATGTTGTTCACTCTCAACATCTTCCTACATTATGCTGGTCATGTTGTTCACTCTCAACATCTCCCTACATTATGCTGGTCATGTTGTTCACTCTCAACATCTCCCTACATTATGCTGGTCATGTTGTTCACTCTCAACATCTTCCTACATTATCACACGATAATTTACAATAATTTCATGCTATAAACATCTCATATATATATATATAATATATATATATATATATATATATATATATATATATTTTATATATATATATATATATATATATATATATATATATATATATATATATATATATTATTATTTTTTTTATTATTTCACACTGGGCGATTCCCACCAAGGCAGGGTGGCCCGAAAAAGAAAAACTTTCACCATCATTCACTCCATCACTGTCTTGCCAGAAGGGTGCTTTACACTACAGTTTTTAAACTGCAACATTCACACCCCTCCTTCAGAGTGCAGGCACTGTACTTCCCATCTCCAGGACTCAAGTCCGGCCTGCCGGTTTCCCTGAACCCTTCATAAATGTTACTTTGCTCACACTCCAACAGCACGTCAAGTATTAAAAACCATTTGTCTCCATTCACTCCTATCAAACACGCTCACGCATGCCTGCTGGAAGTCCAAGCCCCTCGCACACAAAACCTCCTTTACCCCCTCTCTCCAACCTTTCCTAGGCCGACCCCTACCCCGCCTTCCTTCCACTACAGACTGATACACTCTTGAAGTCATTCTGTTTCGCTCCATTCTCTCTACATGTCCGAACCGCCTCAACAACCCTTCCTCAGCCCTCTGGACAACAGTTTTTGTAATCCCGCACCTCCTCCTAACTTCCAAACTACGAATTCTCTGCATTATATTCACACCACACATTGCCCTCAGACATGACATCTCCACTGCCTCCAGCCTTCTCCTCACTGCAACATTCATCACCCATGCTTCACACCCACATAAGAGCGTTGGTAAAACTATACTCTCATACATTACCGTCTTGCCTCCAAGGACAAAGTTCTTTGTCTCCATGTATATATATATATATATATATATATATATATATATATATATATATATATATATATATATATATATATATAAATATGTAATATATATATATATATATATATATATATATATATATATATATATATATTATATATATATATATATATATATATATATATATATATATATATATATATATATATATATATATATAGAATTACAATTTTCTCTTGTTATTTCTTCAAAGATTTTTTTAAGTAATTTGCGTCTCAAAAATAATTAGACAAAAATTACATTTTTAATGATCTTGTTTGGTTCGTGTTTTAGAGATTATTACTGTCGTTGATGTTATTGATGAATATCACCCGTATTAATCCACGTCCAGTCGATAGACATGAAACTTGACTGACAAATTAACCCACTTTTATAAGTGTAGGCATCAATATCAACCTATGTCCGCTAACTACAAGAAAATAACTAATCTACTTTAGTCCTATGGCTGCCACGAACAAGAAACTACGCCACTTTAGACCCACGAACATTACGTACAACGAACAAGTACAAAGTTAACGCAGTAATAATATTGATCACATTCTGACGATGACGTCAGCAACTCTTAAACGTAAACACTGTTTGGGTCGTTAAAACAAAGGTCGTTTCTGTGTTTTTTGTGTAGATATTTTTTGCTGGTCGCTTCACCGTGTTGTTTGTTCTGTATATTTCGGGATGGACTCACCTAGTTGTAACTGTAGGGGTCGAATCTCGGCTCCTGGAACTGTCTTACCCTGTGTGTGTCTTGTTTACCCTGTGTGTGTATTGTTTGTAGTATGATATTTGGATGTTAAATACGTTCCATGTGTTATCAGGAAGCAAAGGTACCAATACGAGGGTTTATTCAAGTGGATTTGGTTTAGGTGTGAGGTTTATGAAGTGTTAGTGTCGTGTAAATCGTGTTGGTACTTAGAATATAGTTATACCGTCATATTCCTGAGTGGTGTGGTGAGCTAAGCGTCGAGTGGTGGTCGTGCTCCTGCTGGGAACACTGTGACTCCGGGTGTTCTTCTTGTTCTTGGGCTTGTTCACGTAGTTCTTGATGATGTCCTCCTCCCTGCAGAACCTGCGTGGAAAAACGGTTGGTTTAGTGTTATGATCACAGGTTCTTCGGCTTCCTAATCTCTCCTGAGGAACCTGAGTTAAGGAAAAGGTTGGCTGGAGACATTGTTTGGAAAGTTCTTGGTATCAAGGCATCATAAGAACGGAAAGGGAACCTGGCTGAGACTATATTTACAGTGTTCTTGTTGTCGTACTCCTCCCTAGAGAAGCTCAATGGAGAGTAAAGTTGGTGTAAGATCATGCAGAGTCATTGGTGCTCTGTTCTTTCCCGACAGACCTATGTAGCAGGAGTGTCATCATCCTACTGCAGGCAGAACCTGAATGAAGAGAAGGTTAGTATAGAGTTGTTTGCTAACGTCTTCGTGTACTACCAACTCCAGTACATCTGCGTTTACGAAGTTCAGGTTACTACCGCTAACACTCCATCCAGCAGCACAAGAATGGAAGTACAGTTGTTACAAGATGATGTTTACCAAGTCTTTGGTCTCCTACTCATGTAAGTAGAGTCTGAGGTCAGGAAATAACTGCACACTATATAATGTCATGGTTTTTGCAATATAATGAGCATTCCAGTGTTTACCTACATTTATCTTATTCCCTGAACAGTGTCCACGAACTTACTGGTATTCTCCTGCTCCTGGACACGTTTTGAAATAAGTTATTTATTTTTTAATTACAGAGTGTTACTCCTGCAGCCGATATTCTGAAGGCCATAAATCTGAACCCACCTGACGTTCTGTTTTAATTAAGAAGATGAGCACATACCCACCTGGTATATATAAGATGGAGACTTGCACCTGACATGATACCCTATACAATACACTGATATTTTCTCATACCCTGGATTTATATCCTCTGATACCCTTGACTAGACTTGTTCTTACCTTATATCCATGAGCATGTCCCTGGGTATGTCTCTTCTACAGATGGCACAGTTCTTGGTGGTGTTGGCGATACCCTTGACACAGACCATGCAGAAGGTGTGCCCACACTCCAGTGCCAGGGGCAGTGTGACGGGGCCCAGACAGATGGGACACTCCTCTGAGCTCTCGTCGTCTGAGCCATTCTGATTGCCTGTGGCAGGAAGAAAGAGATGAAGAGAGATAAGGAAAGATAATGATGCAGGGGACAGGGGAAAGGAGAAGAAATGGTGGTGATGGGAACGAAAGAGACAAGAGTGAGAAGATAAGATGAACAGGAGAATAACAAAAGATAAATATCAGGAGAAGAGAACTTGGTTTGAAACGTTCACAATATTTCCTGGAGGTTTTAGTGCAGATGGTCGAGTGTAGACGGTCGAGTGTAGACGGTCGAGTGTAGACGGTCGAGTGTAGACGGTCGAGTGTAGACGGTCGAGTGTAGATGGTCGAGTGTAGACGGTCGAGTGTAGACGGTCGAGTGTAGATGGTCGAGTGTAGACGGTCGAGTGCAGATGGTCGAGTGTAGACGGTCGAGTGTAGACGGTCGAGTGTAGATGGTCGAGTGTAGACGGTCGAGTGTAGACGGTCGAGTGTAGATGGTCGAGTGTAGACGGTCGAGTGTAGACGGTCGAGTGTAGATGGTCGAGTGTAGATGGTCGAGTGTAGATGGTCGAGTGTAGATGGTCGAGTGTAGATGGTCGAGTGTAGATGGTCGAGTGTAGATGGTCGAGTGTAGATGGTCGAGTGTAGATGGTCGAGTGTAGATGGTCGAGTGTAGATGATCGAGTGTAGATGATCGAGTGTAGATGGTCGAGTGTAGATGGTCGAGTGTAGATGGTCGAGTGTAGATGGTCGAGTGTAGATGGTCGAGTGTAGATGGTCGAGTGTAGATGGTCGAGTGTAGATGGTCGAGTGTAGATGGTCGAGTGTAGATGGTCGAGTGTAGATGATCGAGTGTAGATGGTCGAGTGTAGATGGTCGAGTGTAGATGGTCGAATGCAGATGGTCGAGTGCAGATGGTCGAGTGCAGATGGTCGAGTGTAGATGGTCGAGTGAGTCAGAATGGTCGAGTGTAGATGGTCGAGTGTAGATGGTCGAGTGTAGATGGTCGAGTGTAGATGGTCAAGTGTAGATGGTCGAGTGCAGATGGTCGAGTGTAGATGGTCGAGTGTAGATGGTCGAGTGTAGATGGTCGAGTGTAGATGGTCGAGTGTAAATGGTCGAGTGTAGATGGTCGAGTGTAGACGGTCGAGTGTAGACGGTCGAGTGTAGACGGTCGAGTGTAGATGGTCGAGTGTAGATGGTCGAGTGTAGATGGTCGAGTGTAAATGGTCGAGTGTAGACGGTCGAGTGTAGATGGTCGAGTGTAAATGGTCGAGTGTAGATGGTCGAATGTAGACGGTCGAGTGTAGACGGTCGAGTGTAGATGGTCGAGTGTAGATGGTCGAGTGTAGATGGTCGAGTGTAAATGGTCGAGTGTAGACGGTCGAGTGTAGATGGTCGAGTGTAGATGGTCGAGTGTAGATGGTCGAGTGTAGACGGTCAAGTGTAGACGGTCGAGTGTAGATGGTCGAGTGTAGATGGTCGAGTGTAAATGGTCGAGTGTTGATGGCCGAGTGTAGATGGTCGAGTGTAGATGGTCGAGTGTAGATGGTCGAGTGTAGATGGTCGAGTGTAGATGGTCGAGTGTAGATGGTCGAGTGTAGATGGTCGAGTGCAGATGGTCGAGTGTAGATGGTCGAGCGTAGATGGTCGAGTGTAAATGGTCGAGTGTAGATAGTCGAGTGTAGATGGTCGAGTGTAGATGGTCGAGTGAAGATGGTCGAGTGCAGATGGTCGAGTGTAGTGATGATAGGCGTGCAGTGATGATGGGCGTGCGGTGATGAAGGGCGTGCAGGGATGATGGGCGTGCAGTGATGGGCGTGCAGTGATGACGGGCGTGCAGGGATGATGGGCGTGCAGTGATGATGGGCGTGCAGTGATGATGTGCGTGCAGTGATGATGGGCGTGAAGTGATGATGGGCGTGCAGTGATGATGGGCGTGCAGTGATGATGGACGTGCAGTGATAATAGGCGTGCAGTGATGATGGGCGTGCAGTGATGATGGGCGTGCAGTGATGATGGGCGTGCAGGGATGATGGGCGTGCAGTCATGATGGGCGTGCAGGGATGATGGGCGTGCAGTGATGATGGGCGTGCAATGATGATGGGCGTGCAGTGATGATGGGCGTGCAGTGATGATGTTCATGCAGTGATGATGGGCGTGCAGTGATGATGTTCATGCAGTTATGATGGGCGTGCAGTGATGATGGGCGTGCAGTGATGATGGGCGTGCAGTGATGATGGGCGTGCAGTGATGGGCGTGCAGTGATGATGGGCGTGCAGTGATGATGGGCGTGCAGTGATGATGGGCGTGCAGTGATGATGGGCGTGCAGTGATGATGGGCGTGCAGTGATGATGGGCGTGCAGTGATGATGGGCGTGCAGTGATGATGGGCGTGCGGTGATGATGGGCGTGCAGTAATGATGGGCGTGCAGTGATGATGAGCGTGCAGTGATGATGGGCGTGCAGTGATGATGGGCGTGCAGTGATGATGGGCGTGCAGTGATGATGGGCGTGCAGTGATGATGGGCGTGCAGTAATGATGGGCGTGCAGTGATGATGAGCGTGCAGTGATGATGGGCGTGCAGTGATGATGGGCGTGCAGTGATGATGGGCGTGCAGTGATGGGCGTGCAGTGATGATGGGCGCGCAGTGATGATGGGCGTGCAGTGATGATGGGCGTGCAGTGATGATGGGCGTGCAGTGATGATGGGCGTGCAGTGATGATGGGCGTGCAGTGATGATGGGCGTGCAGTGATGATGGGCGTGCAGTAATGATGGGCGTGCAGTGATGATGAGCGTGCAGTGATGATGGGCGTGCAGTGATGATGGGCGTGCAGTGATGATGGGCGTGCAGTGATGATGGGCGTGCATTGATGATGGGCGTGCAGTGATGATGGGCGTGCAGTGATGATGTGCGTGCAGTGATGATGGGCGTGCAGTGATGATGGGCGTGCAGTGATGATGGGCGTGCAGTGATGATGGGCGTGCAGTGATGATGGGCGTGCAGTGATGATGGGCGTGCAGTGAATTTAAAAAATCTAAAAAAAATCATTCAGAAGTTAAAGAAAATCCAAGAACAAAAATCCATCCAAAAAAAAAATCCACATAAAACGAAAAAATCCACCAGGAAAAAATCCCATACTAGAATAAACTGATTATTTTTTTCTGCGGATTAATTTTCAGGGATTTTTTCCTGAATTATATATGTGGATTATATGTGGATTATATGTGGATTATATGCGGATTATATGTGGATTATAGGTGGATTATGTGTGGATTATAGGTGGATTATGTGTGGATTATAGGTGGATTATGTGTGGATTATAGGTGGATTATGTGTGGATTATAGGTGGATTATGTGTGGCTTATATGTGGATTATAGGTGGATTATAGGTGGATTATGTGTGGATTATAGGTGGATTATGTGTGGATTATAGGTGGATTATGTGTGTTTTATAGGTGGATTATGTGTGCATTATAGGTGGATTATAGGTGGATTATAGGTGGATTATAGTGACTATGGTGGATTATATGTGGATTATATGTGGATTATAGGTGGATTATAGGTGGATTATAGGTGGATTATAGGTGGATTATAGGTGGATTATAGGTGGATTATAGGTGGATTATAGGTAGACTATAGGTGGATTATATGTGGATTATATGTGGATTATATGTGGATTATAGGTGGATTATAGGTGGATTATATGTGGATTATAGGTGGATTATAGGTGTGTGTACCGACGTACCTTTATCCTCAGGTTTAAGGTACTTGTGGTCATGTTCGTAGTGGAACTGCAGGTACTTGAGTTGTACGTACTTGGTACAACCCTTACAACGTTCAGTACGTGCTTCACAGTACTCAAGGTGACGTTGGTACTCCGATGCCGTCACCTCCAGCTCACAGTGCTGGCAGGGCACCAGTCTCCGTGGGCACTCCTCCTTCTGTGTGGGCACACAAACAAACCTCAAGTTACTAAATGACACCTCGGGTCACCAGAGATCGTCTCAGGTCACCAGAGATCGTCTCAGGTCACCAGAGATCATCTCAGGTCATCAGAGATCGTCTCAGGTCATCAGAGATCGTCTCAGGTCACCAGAGATCGTCTCAGGTCACCAGAGATCGTCTCAGGTCACCAGAGATCGTCTCAGGTCACCAGAGATCGTCTCAGATCACCAGAGATCGTCTCAGGTCAACAGAGATCGTCTCATGTCACCAGAGATCGTCTCAGATCACCAGAGATCGTCTCAGGTCATCAGAGATCGTCTCAGGTCACCAGAGATCGTCTCAGATCACCAGAGATCGTCTCAGGTCACCAGAGATCGTCTCAGGTCATCAGAGATCGTCTCAGGTCACCAGAGATCGTCTCAGATCACCAGAGATCGTCTCGGGTCACCAGAGATCGTCTCATGTCACCAGAGATCGTCTCAGATCACCAGAGATCGTCTCGGGTCACTAGAGATCGTCTCAGATCACCAGAGATCGTCTCAGGTCATCAGAGATCGTCTCAGGTCACCAGAGATCGTCTCAGGTCACCAGAGATCGTCTCAGATCACCAGAGATCGTCTCAGATCACCAGAGATCGTCTCAGGTCACCAGAGATCGTCTCATGTCACCAGAGATCGTCTCAGATCACCAGAGATCGTCTCAGGTCATCAGAGATCGTCTCAGGTCACCAGAGATCGTCTCAGATCACCAGAGATCGTCTCAGGTCACCAGAGATCGTCTCAGGTCATCAGAGATCGTCTCAGGTCACCAGAGATCGTCTCAGATCACCAGAGATCGTCTCGGGTCACCAGAGATCGTCTCATGTCACCAGAGATCGTCTCAGATCACCAGAGATCGTCTCGGGTCACTAGAGATCGTCTCAGATCACCAGAGATCGTCTCAGGTCACCAGAGATCGTCTCAGGTCACCAGAGATCGTCTCAGGTCACCAGAGATCGTCTCAGGTCATCAGAGATCGTCTCAGGTCATCAGAGATCGTCTCAGGTCACCAGAGATCGTCTCAGATCACCAGAGATCGTCTCAGGTCACCAGAGATCGTCTCAGGTCATCAGAGATCGTCTCAGGTCATCAGAGATCGTCTCAGGTCACCAGAGATCGTCTCAGATCACCAGAGATCGTCTCAGGTCACCAGAGATCGTCTCATGTCACCAGAGATCGTCTCAGATCACCAGAGATCGTCTCAGGTCATCAGAGATCGTCTCAGGTCACCAGAGATCGTCTCAGATCACCAGAGATCGTCTCAGGTCACCAGAGATCGTCTCAGGTCATCAGAGATCGTCTCAGGTCACCAGAGATCGTCTCAGATCACCAGAGATCGTCTCATGTCACCAGAGATCGTCTCATGTCACCAGAGATCGTCTCAGATCACCAGAGATCGTCTCGGGTCACTAGAGATCGTCTCAGATCACCAGAGATCGTCTCAGGTCACCAGAGATCGTCTCAGGTCACCAGAGATCGTCTCAGATCACCAGAGATCGTCTCGGGTCACTAGAGATCGTCTCAGGTCATCAGAGATCGTCTCAGGTCACCAGAGATCGTCTCAGATCACCAGAGATCGTCTCGGGTCACCAGAGATCGTCTCATGTCACCAGAGATCGTCTCAGGTCACCAGAGATCGTCTCAGGTCACCAGAGATCGTCTCAGGTCACCAGAGATCGTCTCAGATCACCAGAGATCGTCTCAGGTCACCAAAGATCGTCTCAGGTCACCAGAGATCGTCTCAGGTCACCAAAGATCGTCTCAGGTCACCAAAGATCATCTCAAATAACTAGACTTTACCTCAGGTCACTGTAGGTCACCTCAGATCAAAAAATTAATTAGAATGGTAGGGTATGAGAAGAACTAACCTAGCATGGGCCAATAGGCCCATTTTAGAGCATTTCAACTCTTAAATCTATCTTGGTCTATTCATCTATAAGTCTATTGTTAAACCTGTATATTTCCTATATTCTTTATAAATCTAAATTTATCTATTGGTCTATTCTAAATTTATTATCTTTATATCGTCAACTTAGACACTGTTGTCTAAGTTGGTAACTTACTCTAAGTTCCGGTACCATCATAACTAAGTTCTGTATTATTAAGTTTTTTTAAGTCTCAGATTTTATCTACGCAATTTTCTTTAATCAGATTTGTTATTCCTCTTGTTATTCCTCTTGTTATTCCTCTTGTTATTCCTCTTGTTATTCCTCTTGTTATTCCTCTTGTTATCTCTGTATTCCTCTTGTTATTCCTCTTGTTATTCCTCTTGTTATTCCTCTTGTTTTCCTCTTGTTATTCCTCTTGTTATTCCTCTTGTTATTCCCTTGTTCCTTGTTATTCCTCTTGTTATTCCTCTTGTTATTCCTCTTGTTATTCCTCTTGTTATTCCTCTTGTTATTCCTCTTGTTATTCCTCTTGTTATTCCTCTTGTTATTCCTCTTGTTATTCTCTTGTATCCTTGTTATTCCTCTTGTTATTCCTTGTATTGTTGTTATTGTTTTATCCCTGTGTTATGCCCCATCTCTGTGTTATCCTCTGCTTATCACTAGTTGTTATTCCATCCAGGTTAAAACATACTTGTTATTCCCCTTTGTTATTTCCTCATAGTAAATGGGTACCTGGTGTTAGTGACTGGTGTGGTCGTCGGATACACCTAAGGGCTTGGTCAACCGTCCGCGGGCGTTGACCCCCGACTCTCTCCGAAACTCCAAAAACACTTACCTCCCACCTGGTGCTGAGGCAGTACAATATACTTCACTCTTTCTTAGGAAAGCTTGTGTTTCTCTCTCTCTCTCTCTCTCTCTCTCTCTCTCTCTCTCTCTCTCTCTCTCCTCTCTTCTCTCTCTCTCTCTCTCCCTCTACCTATCTATTTATCTATCTCTAAAAATAAATATTCTTTTGTTTAATAATTCTAATTTTGCTGTTCATATTTTTATTAAATATTCTGACTTTCTTAACTGAATTTATTATACACATTACTGTTGCTTCCTTTATCTTGTCTCACCTCACTTACCTCACATTCTTTCTTGTATTAACTTTATTTATAAGTTATTTCCAGTTTAACGTAGTATTTATACACACACACACACACACACACACGCATATATATATATATATATATATATATATATATATTAATATATATATATATATATATATATATATATATATATATAATATATTATATATAGTCTCATTCGTGCGTACAAAGGTCTATAAACAGGGCTTAAAAAATAGGTAAACAATAGAATATTTTGGTAATATTATTTGTTATGTGTCACAAGATAATTTTCTTAAACTGGCACAGAATTCTTGGTATCTCGTTCTTGGTAACATGATAATGTTGGCGGTCGTAGGTTATGCTGTGTCTGTGTCGTCTTGAAGGAGTCGAGTCCAGCAGACAGTGGTACTCCAGACACTCACCTAAGCCAGGCTACTATAAGCCACTCACCTAAGCCAGGCTACTATAAGCTACTCACCTAAGCTAGGCTACTACAAGTCACTCACCTAAGCCAGGCTACTATAAGCCACTCACCTATGCCAGGCTACTATAAGCCACTCACCTAAGCCAGGCTACTATAAGCCACTCACCTAAGCCAGGCTACTATAAGCCACTCACCTAAGCCAGACTAACTGTAACCATCACTAAGCAGTATATAAGCCACTCAACCTAGCCAGGCTACTGTAAGCACTCACCTAAGCAGCTACTATAACACTCACCTATCAGGTATAGTAACCTCACCTAAGCATATATAACACTCAACTATGCCAGGTACTGATAAGCAACTCACTAACCATGGCTACTATAAGCATACTATCCAGGCACTGAAGCATTCACATCAGGCTACTGTAACACACCTAAGCAGGCATACTGAAGCCACTACTAGCCTGACTACTATAAGCCACTCAACATAGTGCCATGGCTACTGTGAAGCATCACTAGCAGCTACTAAGCACTCACCTAAGCCAGCTACTATAGCCACTCACCTGAACCGGCTACTGTAGTCCTTCTCACCTAGCCAGACTACTAGCCACTACCTAACCAGGCTACTAGTGAAGCATCACCTAAGCAGGTATATAAGCCACTCACCTAAGCAGGCTACATGTAAGCCATACTAACATGCACTACTATAAGCAGTCACCTAAGCAGGCTTCTATAGCCTCACTAAGCCAGTGCATAAAGCCGGATCACCAAGCAGGCTTGTAAGCCACATACTAGCAGACTACAAGCACTCACCTAAGCCGACTACGTTAGAGATCACAAGGCAGACTTACTATAGCCACTCACTAGTGATATATAAGTCCCTCACTAGCAGGGTACTGTAAGCCAGCTACACACTTGCCAGGTATGTAACCACTCACTAGCTGACACTATAGCCCTCACCTAAGCCAGATCTATAAGTGCCACACCTAAGCCAGATACTATATGACATCACCTAAGCAGCTACTATTAGCACTGCACCTAGCCAGCTATGTAAGCCACTCACCTAGCAGTGCTGACTGTTAGCCATCACCTAAGTCAGGGTACTATGAGCCACTCACCTAAGCCTGACGTACTATAATAGCACCTCACAATAATAGCACGACATTATTCTGGCCATACATGTAATATAACTAATAATAGATATATAATAATATATCATAATAATAATATACTCCATATTAATAATAATAATGACATATTAATACTATAATACCTACCTCGTGAGAAAGTTACGGAGAGTTCAACAAGCCGCACCAACACTGGACAAAGACTTTCCTTGTGGTTAGCTCGAAACCATGTTGCTGGTAGTTGAGCGGACTGCTCCTGATCACTCTGTACACACGGATATGTTCTTGCAGTGAACTGTATAGTACCGTTGTAGTTCCTTGCTGACACCTCCCGTTTACTGCCGGACAAAGGTAAAGTGAGAAGGTGAGAGAGTGAGAGTGCGAGTGCGAGAGTGAGAGAGTGACAGTGTGAGAGTAACAGTGCCTACTTCTGCTGTTTGGTGCCTTGAAGGCCTGTGTCTATGTCTGCTACACAGGTGATACACAGGTGATACACAGGTGTTACACATGTACTATGCATGTGCTACACAGGTACTAGCGTGTGTGCAGAGGTGCTACACAGGTGCTGTACATGTGGTTGTGTGTGTGTAGATGTGCTGCACAGGTGCTGGAGTATGTGAACACATGCTACACAGGTGCTAGTGTATGTGTACATATGCTACACAGGTGCTACACAGGTGCTAGAGTGTGCACCTTCTTGCGAGAGTTATGTGACATTCAGTGTTATTCTGGGATCAGCAATGATAGTCATGCACCGCTGGAGTGCTGTGTTTACCCACGTCAGTTGGTGAGTGTTGAGCCACAGCTCCTGGCCCTGGAGGGTGCTGAAGATCTCGCCCTCACATAATAGGGAGTCGGTCATTCCTGGGCCCTGGCTGTTGTAACGTAGCTTCGGGTGCTCAGTTTGCTTTCCACGTGTCGAATCGTAGCTCCTGGCCCCTATTCATTATTAATAATGACCAGTTTTAGTCTTGTCATACCTACTCGTGAAACTGTTTACTCTATTCTACTAGTGCATCCCACCAACACTGGCAAAGCATTTCATCTCTGTGGTTCATCTGTATTTTGAACCGATGTCTGTGTTGTTTGGCTCTCTATCCACTCTGTCTAGTCCATCGGATATTTTCTATGTCATTATTATATCCCCCTCTATGCTTGCTTGTTTAGGGTGACTTTTATTATTTGATATTTCTCTTTTAGGGCAGCTCACTTCCGGTACCTCTATCGCTGGAAAATTTAAGATCTTTTCTAACCGATTTATATAGGCCTATCTTACGTTGTGCATAATGTTCTAAATAAATCTTTGTTCATCTTCCTGAGAACAAGTGTTAGGTAGACGTTGCTGTATATGATAACAGATGTTTTGTAATGTAGAGATTCTTCTGATGATATGCTTGGCGTCATGTTTACCTTCATATCTTTGTACCTGTACATTGTGTGTGTGTGTGTGTGTGTGTGTGTTGTGTGTGTGTGTGTGTGTGTGTGTGTGTGTGTGTGTGTGTGTGTGTGTGTGTGTGTGTGTGTGTGTGTTGTGTGTGTGTGTGTGTGTGTATGTGTGTGTGTGTGTGTGTGTGTGTGTGTGGTGTGTGTTGTGTGTGTGTGTGTGTGTGTGTGTGTGTGTGTTTTGAGTAAAGTGTATTAAGAGCGCTCGCGGGGTAAACACGACAAGAAGGTAGTATAAGTGAGAGTGTAGGGAGTATCTAGTGCCAATGTTAGCTACACCCCTCCCGTTGGCACCCTGTGGCACCCTGTGACACCATCTGGCAGCCTCGGGTACTTCCTAGCAATTCCTGGCACCCAAATGCATTCCCTGGCACCCTCTTTTAATGTCTGGCATACCTGGAACCAACACTCTCTGAAACCCCCATGAAACTCCCTCTTAGTGCCATCTGGCACTACTTGAAGCACCCACCTGGCACCTCTTGAAGTCCTTACTACATATATTTTATATCTGTTAATAGATGCGGGGTCGCCGCCCCCACAGCTGGGTCTCAGACGAGGCCTACTAACCTGGCCAGAGTATAGCAGACATGAGAAATATTATGACACTCACGGTTAGTGAAGAGTGATTACTTAGGTTTTCTCTAACTTCTATAGTGTTTGTAAGGCATGGAAGGCCAGCAATCCTGCCAGAGTGCAAAACGTTTAAGAGGCTTCCACTTCACCGTAGGATAGCATGGCACGTACTAGCACTATTGGAATCCTCAGGGGTTTCCTGGAACCTTTGGAGCTTTACCCTGGCATCTTCTGCAACTGTTGGCAATTCGTGGCACCCCTGACAATGTCTGGCAAGTCCCTGTATCTTTTAGTGCCTACTGGCACTTCCTTGGCACCCTCACTGGCCTTGTCCTCTTTGTTCACTTTTCCCTGGTAATTTACAAGCTTGGCATAATACTCCTTGTAGCCTTGTGGACACTCCTCCCTCTAACATGTTATAACTCACGTCAGTCAGTCAAGAGGCAGGCACAGGAGCTACACCTCAACCTTTTCTCCCCTCCTTCCCTCCGCATAATGGAAGTGATAATATCATATAAGTACTGTACAGAAAATGTTGAATTGTGTGGTGTTGTTACTGACCCAGCTTTGATGTTCTCTCTCTCTCTCTCTCTCTCTCTCTCTCTCTCTCTCTCTCTCTTCTCTCTCTCTCTCTCTTCTCTCTCTCTCTCTCTCTCTCTCTCTCCTCTCTCTCTCTCTCTCTCTCTCTCTCTCTCTCTCTCTCTCTCTCTCTCTCTCTCCTCTCTCTCTCTCTCTCTCTCTCTATCTCTCCTCTCTCTCTCTCTCTCTCTCTCTCTCTCTCTCATCTCGCTCTCTCTCTCTCTCTCTCTCTCTCTCTCTCTCTCTCTCTCTCTCTCTCTCTCTCTCTCTCTCTCTCTCTCTCTCTCTCTCTCTCTCTCTTGCCTTTACTGCGTGAAGACTATTCTGACTAATATAACATCTGATACTCTCACTTAAGATAGTTTATCTTTGCTATCTTGAAGGTAATCAAGACTACATGGGTCACCTGTTACCTGTTACTTGTCCTGGGGATCTTCCTCCCCATGGTCTGGTCTCAGACCAACATCCTCAGTGGGGAAGGACATATCTCTGGGTTAAGAACTATCATGAAGCATAAAGGAAAGTAGTAGTGTGTGTAGAACGAAGGTCAGTAGAAATATCTGAGATTCACAGACATGTATGGTGACCTCCAGTGGATTAACATAGTTATGTGTATTTAGATAAGTAGAGCAGTACAAGCACACATATCTGATTATCTTTATGATAACAAGAGCTCATTTTCTCAATTATCTTAATGTATAAATAAATAATTTTGTACCAAAAGAACATTAGAAAATTTCCCTAACCTTATTATTGCAAGCGAAATTTAATTTAGCCTAATCCAGCTAAATATACTTTAGATAAGTTTACATTAATTTATTAATAAACAAGCACAATGAAATATATATTTTTTCATAAGGTTCAGAATGATTTTTGCGAAATTATTGCATACAGAAATTTTAGCTTGTCTTATTAGGCAAGGAGAACGTTGCCATTTAAGACAAAATCGCAAGTTTTATCAATTCGGCACGATATATATATATATATATATATATTTTAATATATATATATATATATAATATATATATATATATATATATATATATATATATATATTATATATATATATATATATATATGCACACACAAAATATTTCAATATTTGCACAACAACCGTCTCCCACCGAGGCAGGGTCACCCGTAAAAAGACATTCACTCAACAGCTGTCTTGACAGATATGTGTTGTCATCACAGCTGAGATATTTCTTCGAACTAGCACGTCCTCGCTTCTTCTTCAGAGTACTGTAGTTCCTCGCTCCTCCTTCAGAGTACAGACACTGCCCCTCTCACCGCCAGGACTCAGAGTTCGGCTAACCGGTTTCCCCTGAATTCCCTTTAGGAATGTTACCTTGCTCACACTCCAACAGCACGTCAAGGCCTTCAACCCACTGGTCTCCACTCACTCCCATCATTCAGCAGCAGGTCTACTGCTCTCTGCTGCTGTGACTGAGGAGTCTGCTAAGTAATCTTGCTGACAGAGTGATAGATGTAATGGGCGCTTCTCTCTCTGAGAGGTCAGAACGGGAGTGGGGCAACAGAACGGGGTGGGGGAGAGGGAGAGGTGGAGGGGGAGGGGAGGGAGAGATATCCTAGGTATCCCTCTCTCCTATATAAAAACCATTCTTTCCCTTTGCTTATTTCTCCTTCTTTTGCTTCAGTCTCCCTTTTAGTCATTCCATTTTTTTCATTGCCCTTTCTTCTGTTTCGTCGGCCCGCTCCTCTCCCCTTTCTCCCCTCCCGTCACCCCTCTTCCCTTCTCCCTACCACCAAACATGTCACCTTCATGTACAAGGTTACTGGGACCCCTGCCAGTCTACACTCCACCTGTCCTTTTCTACTCTCCCCTTACTCCTCTCACTCCTTACTCCTCTCCCTTTACACCTTATCCCTCTCCCCTTACTCCCTACACACTACTACTACTATTACACCTTGCACACTACTACTACTACTACTACTACTACTACTACTACTACTACTACTACTACAAGTAATGCCCGTTTGGTAGATATAAAATATTTCAGTAAGCCCAAGAATCATTTACGACCTATATTTTTTGTGGGGGTTTTCCTAGGTAAGTTACACAAGTGGAGTACGCAGCGCCAGCGTGGAGCCCTCATGTGATATATCACGTTAAGAAACAGGAAAAAGTAGTACCAGAGGTGAGGGTTATGAGTTACGAGGAGTGGCTCCAGGAGCTGGAGATGAGGGTGTCAGAAGTAGGAGAGCAAGGGGAGACATGATAACAATATACAAGATACTCAGAGGAAATGAGAGAGTGGACAGAGTGTGCTAGAGGCAATGTTTTTATAAATTAATATAGTGATTAAAACCTGACTTCATAAATTCAACAACAACAACAACAACAAACAAAAAATAATAATAATAATAATAATTAATAATAATAATAATAATAATAATAATAATAATAACTAATAACATACAACAACTACAATAAATGTAAATAATATATCAGAGCCTAAAAGAGAAGTGACAGTGAATGAACTAAAGGAGACAGTGGAGGATATAAGCAAGTACAAAGGTAAGACAGAGATAACATAGGTGATAAAGAAAGGAGTGAAAACGTATGGAGTAGATTTAAGAATGCTGTGCTAGAGGTTATAAATGAGTGGGTGCAAATAGTAATAGGTATGACTGGTGGAATGATGAGGGGAATGAGTCGTAAAGGAGGAACAAAATAGTGACTGAGAGACTTTTAAAAATGATATATGTTAGGAAGAGTGCA